TCCTCCTCTTCTCGGTCTTCTCCATTCTTCTTCATCGCCATCGACACCCCTCTCTCTTTCTCTCGCTCTTCGAGTAGGACTTGCGAGGAGGCTGCGGTAACGCTCGCCTCGTCGGCACCAGGGCCCCGGAGCGCCCTCCGCCGCGCCCCCCTTCGCCCAGGTCCGCTTCTACGTATGGGCTCACCATGCGCAGGATTCGGGCCAACGCCATCGCGATCCTGACCGTCGCCTGGATCCTGGGCACCTTCTACTACCTGTGGCAGGACAGTAAGCCGGCGACGGCGGCGTCTGCTCCCTCGTCAGTGGGGAACCACCACCAGGGAGGTGGGCGCCTGGAGATCCACCGAGACGACAGGACCATCCCGCTGATTGTGAGTCAGTGCGTTATTGGGATTACGTTGCGGGAAGGTGTGCGCTGCATGCGTGATTGTGATGTTTTTTTTTTGGCGGTGCCTGCATGTGCGTGGTGATGGTGGTGCACTTCCCGCAAGCACCTGCATAAGAGGCTTTCCCTAAGTCTAGGAGCTCCCTGCCTGCTTGCCTCGGGTTATGCTGTGGTGTTGTGGTGGGCGCCTCTCGTGTTGCACGCAGGGCCAGCTGGTGGATTGTTTAGTCCGCGTGTCGCCTTGCATTCAGGTGTCCGTGATTCAGGGGCGTACATGGAAATTTTTCACTGGGTTGTTCCAGGGTGACATGACAGTGAGGGGTGGTCATGCTCTCCTGTACAGATCACTTCATTTCTTACTTAGGTTTGTTCCTGCTTGTAATATGAGTGTGTCGGGCAAGATTTAGATATGTGTGATTTTTATTTCATGCCAACCACGTTGTTTGTTTGCTATGGTGTGAAAGTAATGATTTTGATTGACATTGTAAGAATCAAGTGTTCTTTATTGAAGACAGATCATTTTACAATTTGTGTTTGGATCAATTGTAAGCTTAGTCTTTAAATATGGAGTTAATGACTTGTGGCAGAGTTTCAATGGGTCTCCGAACACCGCATCCATGTAAAAATAACAGGTATCACAAACTTTCCCGAGATGTGGAGCTGGCCAGAGAATTTGGCAAAAATCTGCTGGGTTTTTTTTTTTTTTTTTGCCATTTTTGGTGTTTTTATGTTATTATCTTTGTTTTATGCTACTGTGTTAAGATGTAAAAAAAAAAAAAAAACAGGCAAAACGTCAGCAAAAAGTTGGCCAACTTTTGCTTATTTTAAAAGCGCTAATATTGCTCGATTAATTGGTTGGCCTCTAATATTTAGGCACCATTCTAGCGTAATACAGTGGAACCGTGAGATAAGAGTTTCATTTGTAAATACAGTACGTATCGCAAATAATTTTCCCCCATTGAGATGAATGGAAATGCCATTCATCTGTTTTCAGCAAACACTGATAAACATCATACATATGTTACGAAAGACGGAGAGGAAAAAAAAATCCCAGAAAATAAAAAGATGCTTAAAAAAAAAAATCAACGAATACGCGAATCTACCGATGATGTGAGGGTCAACCGCATTGCCCCGCGCTTGCTCACAGCCGCTTGGAATGTGTGCAAGGCCTTATGCAACCACAGCTGCCCTTTGGAAGGCGAGCGCTCTCTTTACTCTGCGTTGTGAGGTCCTTCAACTTTGCCACTATACCGAGAAAACCGTCACCCATCCTCCAACAAAAACGTCAAGGTGAGGCTGTCGGGCACTTTTCAGTGCCGTACGTCCCCAAGTGACCTATCATAACCGTATCCGAAACATGAACGCAGTCTGCTTTCAAGTGGACTTAAAAAAAAAAATGAAATGGCATTCAGTCATATTGGGATTCTCACTTGAAAGTTTGTGTCGGCGTCTTCGATGAGCTTTTAAGTCACATAATGCCCACTGTGTTTTTTTTTTTTAAATTCAGCCCACCGAGCGCTTACATTTTTAACAGTCTCGCACTGTTTGTTGCATTCATTTATTCGTGAGTGAGGGACTGTAGTTATTTAGCTAGTTAATTAGCGACTTAGCTTGTTTGTTCGCGAAGTAGCTTCTTAGTTCATTGGTTAGTCAGCTTGTTGAGGGTAGTAAATTTCCTAGTCTGTCTGTTCGCCCGTTCATTGGTGAGTTGGTTTGTTAGTTTCTGAGCCAGCCAATTAGTTGATTTCCCATTAGTTTGCCTGTTTATCCATTCATTAGTAAGTCAGTAAGTGAATGAGTGAGAGAGTCAGCTAGTTAGGTGGTTAATTTGTGAATTAGTTGGTCGGTTAATCTGTTTTGTTCGTTTTAGGTCGTCTACTCATGAGTTAGCTTGTTAAACAGTGAGTTGCTCGGTGTAATTAGTTGGGTTCTAAGTTGGTTTCTTTGATTGCTTGTTGGTACTTCATTAGTTGGTTGGACAGAGTTGGTTGGTTCACTTGGTGGGTCTGGAAACTAGCTAGTTAGTTTGTTGGTTCAATGGGTTGGTTTGTAAATGAGCTAATGAATGAACTAGTTAGTTTAATTAATTAGTGACTTTTGTTTGTAGATTCATCAATGTAGTCGTTAATTTTGTAGTTCTTTAGTTAATGAGTTGGTTGGTTCATTTTTAAAGATGAATTTTCCGAAAAAAGTTGGAAAAATGGGTCATATGGTCCAAGCATTTAAAAAAAAAATACAGATTCCCTTAATGACACATGTACTTGAATGACGTGTCTTAATTTTTTTACTTAAGCTTGTAAACAGTCGGCGCATACCCACTAGGAGACAATGCGGTCGTCTGCTTGTACACATTTCTACTTTCGTTTGGTTTGTGGTTATGGTCGGTTTATTGAAAGCTGAAAGCTTCTGTTTCCGTGTGTGTGGTCGTCAGGTGAGCCAGCCCCCACGTGGCGAGCATCAGGATCTTCTGCTGGGTGGCCTGGATGAGAATAAGTACTTGGACGCTAAGCAGCTAAAGCCCGGAGACGACCCGTACAGGGAGCACGCCTTCAACCTCATCGAGAGCCACCGCCTGGGAGCGCAGCGGCCGCTCAGGGACACCAGACACTACAGGTGGCACACGCCACGTCGCACCATCTCATTGATGTTTCAGCTCAGTTGGGTGTCAACAGCAGATGAGGGTGGGGTTGGTGAACAATTGCAAAATTGAAAACTGAACAATTTTACACTTTAACTCATTCAGTACCAGCCAATTCTGGACCAAGTCTGAAAAGATGTTTAAAAACGTCTTTGGGAGTGAATGAGTTTTTAATCACAACAGCGATGCTAATGCTATACTCCAGTTAGATTACAACAACGGCAGGAGAATCTATTAGAGATGAACCTCATCACATTGTAAGATATATGTTTAATGTAGCCGTACAAAATTATTACCTAATTTATCCTCTTTTTAGGTGCGCCTCCCTAAACTATGACGTTGACCTGCCGTCCACCAGCGTCATCATCACCTTCCACAACGAGGCCCGTTCCACGCTGCTCCGCACCGTCAAGAGGTAATAGCGACTCGGTGGTGTTTAGCATTAGCCACGGCCATTTGGGCAAAGTTTAATCTTCGTTTGCCATCAGTGTCCTGATGCGGAGTCCTCCGCAGCTCATTCACGAAATCCTCCTCATCGACGACTTCAGCGCTGACGGTGAGTTTGAAGCAGGCTTCAGATCAGTGAGTCTTGCGTGAAGGGGGGATAGGAGGGGCTATTTTCTGATAACCTCAGGACAGGAAGGGCTTTCACCTAGTGCAAATCTAGCACAAAGCACGGTCTAACCGTGCACGTGGGTGGAGTCATTAGGGCTCGAGCAGCGACCGCTGCGAGTTCCCTATGGTTTCTGTAGCAATTATAATTTTCCATAATAAGCAATTATCATTTTCCATAATGAAGTCAATGCCCGTGAGGATAAGCGGCTCGGATAATGGATGGATTTGCATTTTGGGGGCTCTAAAAATTCACCAAAAAACTCACCAACCTGTGCACACACAAAAAAATGTGATATTAAGTTTATTCAATCATGCGTACAATAAAAAGGTCTGGATCGCTTTTGATTTTGTGGCATGCTGTTGCCGTGGGGATGCGCTGTTTGTGCGAGTGCTTTATAGCCGCTCACAACTCTAGTTAGTTATACATTGTGCTTAACATGTTTTTACAGTTTCATTTATTTGCGGGAAAAATATTTTTAAAAATAGCAATTGTTTAATTTCTACCCCGCCCAAGACTTTCTGCTGTTAAAAAGATCACGGCTGCAGGCCAGTGTCTAAGAAAGTTAGCATGTAGCGCTTAGTATGTGCGGTGTGAGGGCAAGGCATGCCCTGGATGGAAGAGCCTGGTGATTAAGTGGAGACTTAACAGGATTATACTCTCTCCCCAGTTGTCTCCTCTTTTGTCCTTCCACTGCTCACATCTCATCAACATCAGCTCAGCAACCAGTTCTCCCCGTACTCTCGTACAACTTTTTCATCACGAAATCGCAGCTTTACTGTTGTAAAAGTACGACTTCAGTACGACTTGTTTTGTGAAATTCCGATATTTCTTGTAATATTGTAGCTTTTGTTCTTTTCGAGTCTCGTGAAATTTCGAATTTTTTAAATGAGGTGATAAATGTATTGACAGGATAACCCAAAGTTTTCCTCTTAAAATGTTATTTTCCTGAAAAGACCACTTTCGTATTTGATCATTAAATACAAAATATACTTTCATGTTTTTAGAATGAATTATTAAACGACAGCATTCATGTTTAAATGGTGCCAAAAGTGCTGAACAAAGCCTCACATTTATTTACCATTAAAATTATGTCTTTATTCTCAAAAAAATGTCTTAATTGTTGCAAATTTAACTGATGCCTTTTTTTTCTATTAATTTCTGACCTTCAAAATAAAAAAATCACAAAAATAAATTTAGCCCACTTGAGTTTTCACTGGCTGGATTACGACTTCTCTGCTGTAATATTGAGAGTTTCTTCTTGGAAAAGCGTTAGTTGTAATACTCCTTGGTATGCAAACTGGAAGCAAAAAAAAAAAACCCAAAACAATACTAACAATAGCGAGTATTGTGTTTCGCCTAGGTTGTTATTTCCATATAAACCCAGCCGTAATCGTAGCTGGTAACACACAATTGTGTTTAAACGTGTGTTTGGCTGTGTCACCTCTCAGCGTGTGCGCTTGTGACTCCGCTGCGCACTCAGCATGCGTGCAGAGGCCATTACAGAGCGTGTGAACCATTAGCTCATGTTCAACTACTGCAGAGAGGAATAATTAGCACAGCGTCGTGATCTGTGCAATGGCAACGAGATTGGCACGCCGCAGACTCGTTATGCCGTTAGCTGATGTTGATTAAGACCAGCAACACTTGGCTTCATGGTACAAGTGTAAAAATAATTGAAAATGTTTTAATCATTCAGTATCATACTTACAATTTTTTTTAAAATCTAACCAAAAATCCATTTGAGGGGACATTTTATGAATTTTTTTTCATTTTTTTATTTTTTTATGTTTGTGCGGTAATCCTTCGCACTTTCGCATTTCGATATTCTCAAATTCGCTTACAGTACCTCTCCACATGCTCAGTTCAGCACCCACAGATTCACCTATTTACAGATTAAAAAAAAAGATTTGAAAAAATATTAAATATTTTCCATTGTTTTCTTTTTTGGCAAACGACATATGTCTCACAGGCATGAATTCTTTATCCTCTGTTAAAAAACGACAGCCTACTTAATTGTGAAACTCTTCTTTGTGTATTCTGATGGTGTGAATTATGCTGGCCCCATAAACATTTTTCAAAGCAGGCTGTTTATTACTCATGGTTTTTCGCTCTTTGCTAGCTATTTATTTGCTAGCTATTATTTGCTAGCTATTTATGAAATGACACAATCGAGTAAGAATTTGATGTGGCTGCGTGTACCAGGACAAACACACAGCGCCAGCTGTCACACACACTTACAGTATGAGTATTGCTGGATCTTCCATTCCTTTCTCACGCTCATATGCAGCGTCTCGGTACACGCTGTGTGATGTAAGCGGTATTAAAAAAAAAAAAAACAAAGAAAAAAAACAGTAGTGTGCGTACATCTCATTCAATCAGTGAGGATTACAAGTGTGGGAGGATGTATCGCTTGCAGGGAGGACGAGGACATACCCACAATGCATCAGCCGGTTCACAGTCGCGCTCTTAATGCTAAGCTGCTCGTGTGTGTGTGTGCGTGCGTGCGGGTGTGTCTGTTTTTAGCTAATTTTGTTCATGAGGCAACAGTCTCATGTATAAAAGTTACTTTTTTTTTAATAAAGCTAACACTAAATGTTCACTTTGCTGATGCTGCTTTTCAAAATGTGTGGAAAATTATTCGTATTTTTTTTTAATCAAGGGGCTACTCAGAGTGTGGTTCCAAACAGACACCGGGCAAGTTTTTCCATGTCTTTTGAGCATGACGGTTTTTTGAGGGTCGACTGATGACAAATTTCATGTTGCTAAGGGAAACTGCCCTAGCAGGCAATATTTTTAAAAGCAATTCTCACGCATGCTCCTGAACCGAAAGAGCAAATTGGCATTCATTCTTAGACCTGCAAACATGCCTACCAAAATTTTTTGAAGTTAAACCAGCACTGAATTAAAAAAAGAGAGCGCACAACCACATCCAAATGTCCGCTTCAAAGCAGGATGGCAGACTTTTTGTCCACATTTAAGCGGTGCTCAATGCGGTTGACTCAATGTGTGTGTATATTTCATCTGCCTTGACACGATCTGTTTGACTTGCTCAGCCGATGACTGCCAGCTGCTCACTCAGATCCCCAAAGTGCGCTGCCTGAGGAATGGCAGGAGAGAGGGTAAGTGTGCGTGCGTGTGTGCGTGTGTGTGTCTGTGTGTGTGTAAAATTAATGGAAAGGACCTTTGGCAACTGTGTGTCACTGTTAATGCGAAAAAGGTGGGGAAAGGTGTCAAAAATGGTTCTGCTCTCGCGCCTCACAAACAAGAGGCGACAGCATGTCAGCACGTGTTAGTGTTGCCGGAGGCCTCGGTGCTCTCCTAACACAGCCCGACACAGGCACATAATAGACCAAATATTCACAACTCGACAGCCATTTTTTTTCCCTGAGCTTTTCAAGACACGCAGCCCCCTTTCGACACATCCTCACAAAGTTGTCACACCCCAACTCCAAACCTCTTGTCTGAAACGAAGCGCTAACGCCCTCGTTCCCTCAGGACTCATCAGGTCCCGCGTGCGAGGAGCCAACTCTGCCTCGGCCCCCATCTTGACTTTCTTGGACAGCCACTGTGAGGTGAACACTGATTGGCTGCAGCCAATGATCCAGCGTGTCAAGGAGGTACAGTGTACACACACACACACACACACACACAAACACACACATACACACACACACACACACACACACACATACACACAAACAGTTAGGCTATGGTATATTCTGTTGTGTGTCGTGTAGTGATTCAGAGTTCATATCGCTGCAGGCTGCATGTTTTTTTTTCTGTCTTTCTGTAATGCAGCAGAAAGTATCCCAACAATTGGATTAGGCAGTCCGCCAGGGAATACCCCCCCCCGCCCACACACACACACACACGGTCCATGCATAGAAAACAAATGGAGAAGCAGCTTAAGTTGGCTATTGTTAGAAGAAGGGATTGTTGTCAGAACACATCCTGGGGAGAGTATTTGTATCGCACATTTGTGAGAGCCCTCAAAGTCAGAAGATCTTGGATACTGGAATCCATGCGTTGGTTGTTTATCTGGCAAAATCACAAGGACAAAGTCATCTCAAAGGACCCCTCGAACTGGTCGGAATGACTCTTAAAATGGCCACTTGAAACCAAAATGGCAGACTTTCTGTGACTTTTTAGGCAAGGCTTTTGTAGACTTTAGTGGGTTTTCTCATGATAGATGCGTCACCCAAATTGAAGTGAGACCAGTGTTGGAGGCCGAATTAAAAACAAAACAAAAAAAAGTGAGACTTCTTGAGCATGTCTACTCATAGTAAACTACTGTTGCTAAGTGGTCTTGCGGGTGATTAAAATGTGAATGTTTTTTTTTTTTTAATTCGAGACAGTCCAAGCAAGCTAAAAAAATGTTAGCAGTACCCTTTGCTCATCCATTTCGGACCAAAATAGTAGACTTTCTGTGATGATCTCTTGAGTCTTCAGGAAAGTCTATTCATGATAGACATGCCTCCCGTTGATTAAAAAAAAAAAAAAAACCTTTAAATTATCCAGGCTATCAAGACAACGTGGACACTTTGAAACAAAACTGTCTTTCCAGGCGTGTCCTTTTGAGACTTTGTTTGGCGAGAATACTCATGATACACAGTCCGAACAAATTTCACATTGCTTAGAGAGGCATTGTTAAAGAAAAAAAAAAAAAACTCAAAATGGAATGACACTTGATCTGGCTTTAATGACGATAAAATCCTTTCCCCAGGGGCTGGTACCAAATGATGTGAATGCAGTACTTTCCCATGTCAGTATATTCCCCTTGAGTCGAAATGTATCCCGCTTTTGAAAAGGGAAAGTTAACAAGAAGCAGAGCGCAACATGTCATCCGCATTGGACACATCATGTTTATGAGTGTTTTGGTCACGCTTGGATCATGGCCTGATACAAACAATGGGATAACAGGCGTAACTGAAGACAGCTGGGCATGGGAGCGTAGCCAAGCCTCCCTTACTGCAGATCAAAATATTAGAAACAGCTACTAAGCGTTGATGCCCATGTTGTTGCAGGACCATACGCGAGTGGTGAGCCCCATCATCGATGTCATCAGCCTGGACAACTTTGCTTACTTGGCCGCCTCGGCCGATTTGAGAGGAGGTGAGAGGATACGCCGCGATCTCCCGTCGCTGTAACTTAACAGCTGCGAGCACAGCTGGCGAGGAGGAGGAAGTCCCCCT